TGTTACAATTTTTTTTGGTGTTTTTTGGTGGGCATTGCCATTCAGTACTGGCTTTGCAGATTTCAAAGGGAAGGGGATTTGGTACATATACAATTTTTGTGTGAGAAAGTGAGAGATTCTTTTCAAAACACTCCAATGAGCCTTGGCCTCTTGGATTGCAGACAAGCTTGCATCTCTATCTCTCGGGTTAATACCTAACATTCAAAGCCCCATCCTCCATTATTCATTGATCTATATCATCTATGTCAGACCTTGATTATGAAGCAATGGAATGCTCCTTTCAAATCTCAATAAAAATACAAACACCAATTATTATAGAAAAGTACAAAATGCAGTATTGCTGGATGAGCCCACACTCCACAAGAATTCCATTCACTTTTCTGCGAAATAATTTGTGTTTATAGTATATGTTTGTTAGGAATTCATGATACTTAAATAGGATTGATGACACGAAACACCAAAAAAAAAAAAAAAACAAACACAACAGATAAATCACACGTGCAAACAAAGAATACGAAGTTTACATGATTCATTTCAAACTAAGATTATGTTAATAGCTATTGTGGTTTTTATTATTGTTGAAGGTATACTATAATTAATAACATTATCACTATATCTAAGCTTACCAGTTGGGCTAAAAAACTCTGTATGGTACATTGGTAATGATAATTTAGAAGAAAAAAAAAACCATAACTATAATTTGATACTCTTAATATCACTATACTTTATCTAATACTGATACGTTTCCCGATTAATCAAGTGTGTATTAAGTGTGTATAAATTGAAATGCATGTAGTGGGAGAAATCATGGAAGGCCAAGGCAATTAAAGCTACTTTAATTTACAGTTTCTCCACTCAACAAGCAAGGGAAAAAAAAAGCCTAGCTAACAATGAAGTGGTCACTTAGCCCCGGATTCCCGACATTTGGTATACTGTTTTTGGTTTTTTTGCATATACAATCATAAATTTTTAAAATTTTTTTAATCAGAAAAAGGTAAAAGAATGGGACTTGATGACATGGCGACGTAAAAGGTGAACATAACGTACATTTTAGACACTACCTTCATTTGCCATACCCATGCATTACATACACATGCTTCTTATTTTTTTTTTCTTTTTCTTTTGTAAATATATATATTTTTAATTTACTGGAGACAACAAATTTGTAGAGAGTAGGAAATGGGTTTGTTCAAGGGAAGGTGTAAGAGAAAAGAAATACTTGCAACGTGTGGAACAGGTAAGAACTCCTAGGGCCGAAACTAGACTTTTTTGTAGTGTCACATTTCACGTGCGTTATGACAAGACAGTTAGGAAACATATTGTGACTCACTTTGTAGGGGAACACAACCATCCCTTGGCAGCACCACACTGCGTCCCTTTTCTTTGGTCACATAGGTTTGTAACAAGTGCAGTCCAAACTCAAGCAAAGGCCATGTGCAAAGTGGGTATGAAAACGAGTTAGATTATGGATTTTATGGTCCACCAGTCAGGGGGTTATGAGATGGTGGGCTTCATTCACAGAGATTTGCACAATCAATTCCAAGCTGAGCGCAAAGTACAACTCGCAGAAGGAGATGCAGAGGGTGCGTTAGGATACTTATCAGCTAAATTAAAGGTAGATCCATTATTTTTTTTCAAATACAACGTCGATAAGGACAACCGGTTGGACAAGATTTTCTGGGCAAATCGTAGGTCTCAAATGGATTATGCTGCATTTGATGATGTATTGGTATTTGATACAACTTATCGTACAAATGCATAAAGAAGCCATTTGTAATTCTAGCTGGCGTGAGTAACCATTTTATGACAACTATATTCGGATGTGCTTTGTTGCCTGATGAGACAATGGAGACATACACGTGGGTGTTGGAAATGTTAATGGAGGCCATGGATGACTACCATCATTGGTGGCTTCAGGAAACATGTCACTTGTTTGGGGAGATGTTTTGTCTTGCTTCAGCTTCTAAATTAAGTTTAGATGCTTTCGAGTGCTGATCAGTTCACTTTTTCGTAGAACTAATATAATACTTTTGTTGTCCTCAGCTTTTGTGTAGTTCATTATTACTGATACAGAAAACTTTTGGCAATTAACGGATAATGACTATCGTGGTACACAGATCACCTTATGTCGTGGTACATGTATACCATTTGTCGGCATATATATATGACCTTTTGTCATGATCTATAGAAAACTTTTGTCGTGGTACATATATCACCTTTTGCGTGGTACAGATTATGATGGTAATTTGTACCATGCCAAATAGTAATTTCTCTTGGTAGTAAATATATTTTTTGCGTACGGAGGGCTTTGATTTTTGTATGATATATTTTTATGAAATTATTATTTTAGTTTGGACAATAATTGATTTGTATGGACTTTGACATTTAAAGTTATTTATTTTTTGTATATGGATGCAGATTGTGGAATGATTGATAGTATGCATCATTTTGTTTATATACGTATTACAGGTTACATGGAATATAGACAGGTTGTGGAGAAATTATAATTTTGTAAAAAAACATAATATCATGTTTTTGGCGACTAGACAATAGTAGCTAAAAAGAAATTGGGAAAAGACATTTGGCGACTAAAAGTTTTGAAAAAAAAAAAAAAAAAAAAAAGACATTTGGCGACTAAAAGTTTAGTAGCCAAAAGAAAATCAAACATTTAGCGATTAAAATATTTCGTAGTTAAAAACAAAAAGCTAAAGAATAAAAACACTTTTGGCGACTAAAATTTTAGTAGTAAAAAATATGGGACTTTAGGCGACCAAATATTTAGTAACCAAAAGAAAAACTCTTTGCCGACTAAAAATTTAGTAGCAAAAAATGTGGGACTTTAGGTGACCAAATATTTAGTAGCTAAAAGAAGAACTCTTTGCCGACTAAAATTTTAGTAGCAAAAAATGTGACTTTAGGCGACCAAATTTTTAGTAGCCAAAAGAAGAACTCTTTGCTGACTAAAATTTTAGTAGCTACAAATATGGAACTTTAGGAGACTAAAAGTTTAGTCGCCGAAAATGGTCTAATTTAATTTAATGTCCAACCTTTTGGCGACTAAAATTTTAGTCGGAAATTGTATACATTTGGCTTTTAGTCGCTAATTACCTTTACCGATAATTCTTTGACGACTACTTTTGTGACCAAATAATTTAGTTGCTAAAACCATTCGGCGACTAAAAATTTAGTCGCCAAAAGTGAAAATTCTTGTAGTGTTATGATTCATTAGTAAAAGTTATGACATTTTTTTAATCTTATTATGATTGTGGAGAAAAAAGTTATGGTTATGATTCATTAGTAAAAATTATGGTTTGTACTACCAAAAGTTATGATTTGTCATGATGAATCATGATAAAAAATGTTACGATTCAATTGTTATGATAATTAATTACAAATAACTATATTTGTTATGAGTTGTCATTACATTGTTACGATTTATAGTGTCTTTGTTATGACAATTAGGTGAATATTATGACATTGTTATGATTCATTGTAGTATTGTTATGATATTTGAAAAAAAGTTATGATTCTTTTTGCAACCTGTTACATGACCGGTTTAGCAGGTCACTTTTTATGATGTGGCACGATATGGACCACACAATAAGTGCATATCATATGCCCTTTTATAAGGTGCACATTGTAGACTTTCCCAAATGATTATGGTTTAGATATAACATTTTATTTTATTAAGTTTTTAACTTATTTTGTCTTTTTGTGACCATCAACATATCAAACGAAAATTAAAATAACCAACTTCTCAAACAAAAATATTATAAATTACCAAATCAATCCTTTTATATTTTTAAGAAGTCAAAAGTATAATTCCCAAACACCCCTAAAACCAGGGCCGGCCGTGGCCTAAGGCCAGTAAGGCCTGAGCCTTAGGCCCCAAAATTTTGGCCTCAAAACAGGGTCCTCAAATTTGGTAAAATATTATAGGCTTAATGTTTTTTTTTTTTTGGTTTTAGGATCAATTTAAAGGGCCCAAAATATTTATTGGGTCCATGTATAGTTTAGCCCATACTTATTTATAAGTGTAGTTTTTTTGCTTATATTTATTAAAATGAAAAAGTATATATATAAAAAAAATGATTGGGCCCAAGAAAAACAATACATACAATATATGGGCCCTATTTTTTTTTTTAACCTTTTTTTATCTATTAGATTTTAGTAGAATAAATAATTTTGCCCAAATTTTTTTACCTAGGTCTTTATCAGTTTTAATTGAATAATTTTTTCTTAATTTTTTTGTCCTAATTTTGTTTCATTAAATTATTTTGTTTATAATTTTAATGATCATATATGCAAATAAATTTTTTTGTGACTACAAATAAATAAAAAAATTATAACTTCGTTTATTAATAAATTTTTTTTTTTTTCAATGAGGGATCTCATTTTCAAAGTTTACCTTAAGCCCCTCAACCTGAGGGCCGGCGCTGCCTAAAACACCCCTAAAAGGCATTTGTTCCCTAAAGCTGTGTTCGGGATTCATCAATGTTAATATAATAAGGAAAATAATATCACAAATTCACGTGCAATGAGTGCAAGTGGACTAAGCAAGAGTTCTAGATCTGTCAAACAAAGACTATGACACTGAGGCGGTGTTTGGGGAGGATTTTTTTAGATTTTTTTTACTAAAAAATAAATTAATTACGAAATTAAAAAAATAAATTTAAACAAAATATTATATTAAATTCTATAATCATATTATTTTTTTTCTCACAAATATCACAACCAACCACAAAAAAACTTAACTATCTTTCCAAACATTAAAAAAAAAAATTCAAATAATATCTTACAATTAAAAAAACTTTAAAAAAAACTCACTTCCTAAACGCCCACTGAATTTCATTTGTTGCCTCAGCTGTACCCACCCAGTCACGCTATGCACGATCGTAAGCCCTGGCGGCTACACTGTTTCCTAGCCTGCCAGCCACCTCCGCACAACTAGACTTACAAATCTACATGTTGAAAAACAGACAACAACTCTGTCACTTTGAAATCATCCACCGTACTCTTCTTCAATATATATGTGAAACACATGTACGAACTCACATAACAACTTTGGAGTCAACCATGACAATGAAAAGAATTATGAGAGAAGACGGAGAAATTGAGAAACTAGCCATGGCAGACTGCTTGATGCTGCTCTCTCGAGCAGGCGAAAACATCACCACATCTGGTGGTGGCCGTGTCTTTGCTTGCAAGACGTGTAACCGGGAGTTCCACTCATTCCAAGCCCTTGGAGGCCACCGAGCCAGTCACAAGAAACCTACTAGACTAATGGTTCAGGTTCAACCACCTCCCAAGCCGAAGAAGCATGAGTGCTCCGTATGCGGGCTAGAGTTCGCAACCGGGCAAGCACTGGGGGGTCACACGAGGAGACATCGGGCCGTTGATGATGATGATGATGATACTAGAAGAGAATCGGTGGTGGAGGGAGTGGCAGCGCTGATGCAGAAGTCGAGTAGTAGTAGTGGTGGTAGTGGTGATAGTAAAAGAGTTTTGTGGTTGGATTTGAATTTGACGCCTTATGAGAACCACATGAAGGTTAAGAAGACTCCCTCCTGGTTCATTGCTTGACACCTTCTTTTTTTTTTCATGGATCCGCCTGGCCTGTTGTTGGGAAAATTTGTATTTAAGTTGATATCTAAATTGTTTTGGGTAAATTGTCATTTTTAAATCAATCTACTTTTATATATGGTTTTTTTTTTTTTAATTTTATAGTTGATGAAGTGCTATTAAATAAATTCTGTATTTATGATAATTATTTAAATTTACACAATTGTTAGTTTTTTCAACATTTAATAAATTTGAGTATGTCAGTAAAAATTGAATAATAGTCCTTACAAATTAATTTTAAGTCAAACAATTATCAAGTAATTATCTTAATTATTTGTTTTTTTTTTTGCCTTAATAGGGAGGATTTAAAAATTAAATGTAAAATAAAAATCAATTAAAGAATATGCACAAATTATAAATGAGAATATAAGATAGGGTTAGGCACCCAAAATATAGAAGCGCGTGGGGGTTGTGTTGTTGTTGGTTAAGAATAAAATGCACCACAACATACAGCATTGTTAAGGTGCCTTTAGATAGTTTTAATGTCATAATATGAATCAACAAATAGACCTGATTAGATACAAAAATTTGAGTTTGGGAGCATTAAACTCAAATTAGGTATCATTTCTATTTAGAAAAAAAAAAAAATTACAAATCATAAAATCACATATTAGATTGTCTTGTTTGACATATGGCTTAACCATAAAAATATGTAATTTTGTTTGAGCATTGTTGTGATTAGGTTGAATAGGTATAATCAGAGCAATTGCTAATTTCTTCATTGTGTTAACCACCCAAAAAACATTAGAACTAAATAAATCCAGCCAATACATATTCACCTTGCCCATGTTTAATTTGATTTTTAAAAGCTTGTTTCAATTTTTTTAACTAAAAATTAATTTAATAAAATAAATAAAAAATAAAAAATACTTATCACTTTTATATAATTTTATCCTTTGGGAGGTTGAAATTAATGTTTTTAAATATTTTTTTATATTTATTTTTATCAAATTATTTTCAATTTTTCTAATGAATTTTTTAATTTTTTTGTTCTTCTGAAAACAAGCCAAACCACCCATTGTTTTTTACAAAATATTTCAATTAAAAACCAAGTATCTAGACAAACATGCACCGAACAATGATAACTTTGGTAGAAAGACATGGTGGCTTTTGGTTTGTTGAGCCAACATGTATACTCAACACAGGTAGCTAAATTTCAAAAATAATTTTTTGGAGAGAGTTTAGAAAATTTGAAAATTTGTTTGGTTGTATATTTTAAAAATATTTTTGGAGTTTGAGATGATTTGATATTTTTTTGTAATTGAATAGATGAGTATGAGAGGAAAAGTGATTGAGAATGAGAGAAGATATAGAAAAAGTAATTGATTGATGTGTAGTAGAAAGAAAAGTGATTTTAAAAATTTTTTCTCCAAACTTTTCAACCAAACATGTTTTTGGAATTTTTTCTCAAAAAACATATTTTGAGAGACCAACCAAACATATCCGTAATTTTTCATATGAATAAACACAAGCATATTCAATTGCTATAACACTACAAGAAAACTGGGTATATGAGACGGAATTATTTGCGACGGCACATTTGCCGTCTCAAAAAGTCACTTTTTGCGACGGCAGAAAACTTCTAATATATTGTCAATTAGATTCAACTGGGAAGTCAGTGGTGGTCTTTTTTGTTATAATTTTCAACTGGGAAGTCATTTGCTGTCTTCTAATATACACGACTGATTAAAATTGGGCTGGATATCAATGAAAACTCCCAAATATCCGTAAAAAGAGTTTTGTCATGGAATTAATGCCACTATTGTTAACTTTCAGCCTTGATTTATCCAGTAAGAATTTTTGATTTATAGATCAGAGTTATTTCATCTTTTTTGGGGTGGAATTTTATATTCTGTGAATTTTTTCTGGGATGCTGAACCAACTTAAGAAGGGTGTAGTTTTTGTGCTTGGCATGGACTTTCTTTGCCCCATGGTGGAAAGATTGTGGTGTCAGACTAGTTGTGTAGTTCAAGTCTCTAAACTTACAAAGTTTGGTTCATAATAGTTTGTAGGCATCATTCCTACTGGCATAGTGTGCAACTGTTTATGTGGTCCATAGTAAAAATTCATGCTGAGTTTATTGAGGTAGATACCCATAGAAACTGGGATGCGCAATCAAAATTTTGAAATTTAATGAGTAGAGAAATATTAACAAACTCGATACGCATGAGTATTTGTGCTCGAATCTGGCGTGTATATGATGCAAGCATTTGATATTCGCTAGCATCATATTTTAACACAGTCGACTTGAAGAACAATAAAAAAAATAAAATAAGAATGGAATAGAGAAGAGGGAAAGAAGAGAGAGGTAAGAACACCTTAGTAAAATTATGGTTTGGGTGAGATTGACAGATATTTCACAAAACTAAAATGTATAATCAAGCAATGCGGTTGAGTCCGATGCCTTGACAGAATTCAAGGACTTCTTTGGACGCAATTGATGGAAGGAAACAAACACAAACTAGAACTGGAATTAAAGATAAAATTGAACCTGTCACTGAATTACAAGAACCAAATACAAGAACAAAGTTACAGGTTACAAACTACGATCTAACCGCTACATTAAGTTGCAAGAAAACTACTCCTAATGACTAACCGACTCTACTCCAAAATTTCTCAAGTGTTGCGAATGGGGTTGAATGATGCTTTCTTCTTCGAAATCCCTACTTTTGATCCTTTGCTTTGTCCACAACTGCTGCAGCCACGTGTCCCCCTTGATCTCTGCAAATGTTCTCCTTCCACTGCCTAGAATAACTGCCCAACTGCTTCAACCGTCTGTAACTGCTCTTCCTTCACATGCTTTGCTTTATCTGGTCACATGCTCTAAATGCAATCCTTGCATCGAAACACCTATCCACCTTGCATCCTTCCATTTCCAATCATCAAAACAAACAGCCTTTGGCCATGTCAGCATCTCTGTTGACAAACCAAATTGCATACTTCAGTACCAAAAGAAAGTTATTAGAAAATAGAGAATAGGGTTCTCTCCCTTAATCCCTTATATTTATACTTATATAGGTGATTACAAAACTACCCTCCTAGCAAATACATAACTAACAAACACATGGTTGGCTTGGTCAAACATGCTATTGTTGCATTCTGGATAAATTAAAGAAATTTGCAATCTATTTAGTTCACATTTATTTAATGTATGCTGGTGTTACTCAATGTTCAAATCCAATAAATAAGCTATACAAGGACATGATATTTTGGATGAATGACCATCCCACCTGATTTTGTGTCTCGTCTTGTAAACTTCAAGAATGTATATTTGTTCTTCTGGCTGACACGGCCAGATAATTCGTATTAATTATTACTAAGTATTTTTGTATTAAACAAAGTAGTCATTCCGATGATGGCTTATCATTACAATTTGGAATTTGCACCTGAGATTGTGTTGACTTGTTATAGGTTGTTTTCTTTGCATGTGCAAATGACATAGAATGATTTATTAAGCAAACTTTGGATGACCTCAAAACTGTGCTGTTGAGTTATTGTTTAAATAGGGAAGTTGTATCTTCTGTTAATATGGTAATTTTGGCACAGATTGAAGGAGCATTTATACAAGGCTTGGGATTGGGTAGCCTTGGAAGAGCTAAAATGGGGTGATGCTGCCCATAGGTGGATTCGACCTGGCTCTTTGTATACATGTGGGCCTGGAAGTTACAAAATTCCTTCCTTGAATGACGTTCCTTTCAAATTCAGCGTTTCACTTCTAAAGGTAAACACAATAGTCCCCTAAAAGTGTTTCCGATGATGTCATAGAAAAGAAATTGTTTCTTTTGTGTTTTACATTAGCGCACACGGATGGATATGGGTGAAATGAAGAATTCTTTGTAATCATCAGAATCATGACTCAAAACCTTAACTGAGTAGTCACCAAAATTATAATTAGAAATGGGATTTTGTCAAGTGCTCAAATGCCTTCTTCAATATTAAGGAAAACTATACTGGATCAATTTCAGATAGTTTGTAAGACACCATAGGTTGATTACTTTACGTGTGAAGTCCAAGGGTCAACAGAAATCCTATTGTTGCCTATGTGACACTGAATGTGTATCATTGGTGTTGCTGTTCTTGCATTCCTTTTTGCTGGAATTGTTCATGCTCTTTGTTATTTTTTTTTTAAAAATTTTTCTCCCTTTATTTATTTATTCTTTTTGTTTGTTTTCCCTTTAATGGAAGGCAAAATTAAGCCATAACAGTTGTTAATATGTCCTTTCATCTTGAAATTTAGTATAAACCTATATATTTCAGAAGGTAGTTCGGCATATCAGAGCTCAATGTTCCTTTACATTTTTTTTTTTGGTGATGAAAAAAGACAAATATTATTAATAAAGCATCAAGATGATGCAAAGAACCCAATAACTACAATTGATGAAGAAATAAAGGCTCAATGAAATTCAAAAAAACAAATACATCCGGATCCACAGTTACTGACTCCCATCTATGTAAAACAACCAACAACTTGTTTTTCAAATGAGGAACTGAAACCGCTAAACCCTTAAACATCTGACGATTCCGCTCCAATCACACCAACCACATTAAGCATAAAAGAGCCAACAACCAAGCCTTCCAACATCTCTTCATAACCCTACCCTCTCTCCAACTTGGAAACACCTCCCTCATCGTCCCTTGCTGCCAAACTAAATTGAATACAACAAAAACCAACCCTTATAACTGAAATGTCACTGGACAATGAAGACGAAGATGCGACACAAACTCCGCATTCTAACAACATAAACAACACCAATTAACCAAAACATGCTCATGATGTATCAAATTATCCAACGTCAAAATCCGACCATGCACAACCAATAAAACGAAGATACAGTAAACAACCCTTTAGCCCCTTTACACCTCCACCTCGACCCATCAACCTCCACCCAACACCCCTCAAACCATACAAATCCGCCAACAGGTCCACCAACTGATCAGCCTCTCAATCAAACACTGATCTACGAAGCTTTACATGCCACACCATCCTTCCATCCACAACGGACGAGTAAGAAGCA